AATCTGCAAAAATGTCAAAAATTCTGTGTTTTTCTGTCAATATGGGGTGCTGTGTGTACATTAATGAGGAAAAAAATGAACTTAAATGATTTTAGCATATGGCTGCAATCTAACAGAGAGTGAAAAATTTAAGGGGGTCTGAATACTTTCCGTACCCACTGTACATACGCACACTCCAACTCTAAATTATTATTTACTCTTTCTTGTTCCCTCAACCCCTTATATCTCCCCTCTTTCAGAATATACTGTATGTTACTTTCCTATTCAAAAGAGACACTTTTTAACTCATAAAAGCAGACATATTTAACAAACAAACATAGAGTCACTTAAATTTGTCATTGTATGAGGCTTCCGGACCCAGGCCAAAAGGATTAAAATCATTAATGAAATTAAAGGCAAATACTGTATATGCTTCAAAACTCACTTAACAATTCCTGAAGTACAAAACCTCACATTTAAACAATTTAATAAACTACTCTCAACATACAATAGCAGGCAGCAAGGTATCTCAATTCTAATTACTAAAAACATCTCACTGGTCCATAACACATCCATCATTGACCCAGAAGTAAGACTAATCATTGTTAATGTTTTGATTAACCACACAACATGCACACTTGCCAATGTTTTTGGCCCTAATAATGATGACCCATCTTTTTTTCCATAACTTTTTTTTCTTTGCTGCACGACTTTACAAACATTATCATTGCTGGAGACTTTAACACTGTTATAAACCCAAAAAATTATCAATCCAACTCCTCCAACAAAACCACTAAATCATCATTAACACCATGTTGAACCCTGATTTTCAACTGCATAACAACCCCATCCACTTTCCAACATGGCAACACAGAGGAATTACCTTCATCACCTCTTTGAAAACAACCAGCTCATACCATTCAGAACTTCTCCAGTACCATCAGTCAAAATCCATAATTAAATCAAAGATCAATATAATCAACAACCCACTACAACCTTCCATGCTAGCTGAAGAGATAATGATGTTCGCAAACTCAAAGAAGATTATATCTAAACTTAATAAACTAATGTCAAATACAGACAGAACAATAACAATACCAATAACTAAATGGAAAAGGATTTGTCACTCCCCCCAGACTCGACTTCTGGACCGAGATCTGTAATAATATCTTTTCCATGACTACCAATATAAACGTACAGCTTATACAATATAAGACTATTCACAGGACTCACATCACACAAGGTAAAATGTTTCAAATGGATTTTACTGACACAGATACTTGTTCACAATGCACTTGGGGTTGCACCGATGATTACTTCCATGCTATTTGGACCTGTCAACCTGTTTACTCCCTTTGAGTAGCGGTGACAGAGAAACTCTCCACCACCTTGAGCTGTAGAATCCATCACCATCACTCTGCCTGCTCGGTAATGTCACAGAAGTCAACCACCTACCAATTAAATATAAAAACCCACTTCTTATCTCTCTAACTATTGCCAAGAAAACAATCTTTCTGAACTGGAAATCTAAAAACTCATTACACATCAACCACTGGACCAACCATCTCATAGAACACTAGAGAAAATATCATCCACCCATAAGAATAATATGTCAACCTTTACTGACACTGGGAATCCATTTCTAACCTCTTTTAACTTACCTGGGGCCACGCACATTCCCACAAACTCCTAGAAATATAACAAGTTGTGTTTATTTCGTTATTGTTACTGTTATTAATCCTCATTTCTCACTGTCCATGCTGCTGTTTTGAGTATATCACACCTATCAATCAAACCAGATTCACAGAGAATATAATCTACTCCCCTCCCTTTTTCTTTCTTTTCCCCTTTCCTCTCTTTCTAATCATTTACTGATTTGTTAATTTCTTTTTTTTTTTTATGAATATGTGTATACATATATATCCGGGTACGCATAAATATGTGTATGCAAAAGTATATATTGTATTTATATGATCAAAATTGCTTTATTATTTTTTTTATCTTTTATTGTTATTTTATTATTACAATCATCCATTTTCTCTCTGACTGTCTAATTTACCCATTCATCTTTCTCCACAATTAACAAACCAGGAGTTGTATTAGGGGATGCTCTGCCCTGTCCCCAGCAGCTGGGGTATGCAATTTGGGGTCACTCTTGGGGTTTCTCTGGGGGCATAGTATGGGGGTGGGGAAGGCCAGGTCACTGTTTACTTTTTATATAGCATCACTGGACTGCTGGCACCCTCTTAGACCAGCTCCCTCCTCAAGGTCTGGGAGCTGTTTAGGAGGGGAACACACCACACCCAGCAAAATGTTTGTTCTCATCCATTTATTTTATTTTAATATGGATGTTTTGGGCATTACCCTGTTGGAGGTTTTTTGTGCTTCTCTTCTTCTTTTTCCATAGAGCTCACTTTCATTCAAAAAAGAATGTATGGTGCAACTGGACACTGTTGTAGATGTTTATGAAGATTCTCATTTATCTATGTCATGGCATGTCAGAAGTGTTAATGTTGGGAAATGGACTTGCTTGATTTGACTAAAGATGTTTCACCTCTCATCTGTATGCCACCTTTTGCACTTTGGTGACACTGTTGTTGATCTTGGAGGTTTTTAAGTTTTTCTTGTTTTATTTCCTCCACCATTCTCACTGTCCTTTTGAATCAGGGGTCAATTTTCCTCTTGCAGCCATGTCAAGGGAAAATGTGTTAGAGCCCAGTGGACCTTAAACTTATCTGTGCATTACCACTGCATGCATTTCCACACAAAAAAACCTGATGCTTCATGCTGAATTTTATGTATCTAAAACCTAAACAAATAAAACAAAAACTACTGTGCAGATTTGAAGGTTTACATGGCTGGAATTAAGAGTTTGTTCCTATGTTCCTGTTTGTGTGTACAAACAGATGACTGACCTCTCTCTCACATACACACACATTGTGTTTTCATTCCTTGTGGGGACTTTACATTGATTTACATTCATTTCCTGTAGACTTATCTTATCCATAACCACTACTTCCCTAACACCTAACCCTGACTCTAACACTTAACCTAACCTCCTCATCCTAACTTTAAACCATGTTGCTACCCTGAAATTCTGTGATTTCCATGAGGGGACCAGCGGCTGGTCCCCACAGTGTATGTGTTAACAGGTTTCGGTCCCCATAATGTATGTAACACAAAGGCACCTACACATACCTGCATGTTTCTAGAATTCAACACTGTGTGTGTACATATAGGCACTATATCTACAGTATTTCTGTGTGTGTGTGTCCTTGAATGTGTGTAATATTCAATCCCATTAAGTTTGTCATTGCATCCCATTCATCTGCCTACATCCCTGTGTTTCTTTCTCTCCACAGCATGACCTGCTGTCACCATTAATGGAGCTGCGTGACTAGACAAAGCCCAGGAAGTCCTCAGCAAGGTCATTAGCATAACAATGTTCATGGGAACACAATTACCTATGTAGAGATACTGCTTGCAGCCAATGATGCATGAAATTTTTTGTATAATATGATGTTATGGGGTAGGACTGGATAAGTCTGACTTCTTCCTACTCCATTCAAACATGTAATAGGTGTAAGTATATTCAGTAAATGTAAGACCTTAGAGCCTGTGTGTGTGTGTTTGTGATTCGAATATGTGTGCTGTATACCATATTGTGTGTATGGGTGGTTCTTGTCATCTGGGATTATTTATCCCTACTGTGGCTTCTCTTGTCATCACCGAGGGCAGCTGAGACCTGAATAACACATCGCGGAGACTAACTGGGAACACTCATGCAGATGTGAGAAAGCTGGTTCCAGTGAGGTTTTCCTGATCTCACGACACAACCCTCATTTTAAAATGTTCCCATGAACATTGTTATGCTAATGACCTTGCTGAGGACTTCCTGGGCTTTGTCTAGTCACGCAGCTCCATTAATGGTGACAGCAGGTCATGCTGTGGAGAGAAAGAAACACAGGGATGTAGGCAGATGAATGGGATGCAATGACAAACTTAATGGGATTGAATATTACACACATTCAAGGACACACACACACAGAAATACTGTAGATATAGTGCCTATATGTACACACACAGTGTTGAATTCTAGAAACATGCAGGTATGTGTAGGTGCCTTTGTGTTACATACATTATGGGGACCGAAACCTGTTAACACATACACTGTGGGGACCAGCCGCTGGTCCCCTCATGGAAATCACAGAATTTCAGGGTAGCAACATGGTTTAAAGTTAGGATGAGGAGGTTAGGTTAAGTGTTAGAGTCAGGGTTAGGTGTTAGGGAAGTAGTGGTTATGGATAAGATAAGTCTACAGGAAATGAATGTAAATCAATGTAAAGTCCCCACAAGGAATGAAAACACAATGTGTGTGTATGTGAGAGAGAGGTCAGTCATCTGTTTGTACACACAAACACACACATAGGAACAAACTCTTAATTCCAGCCATGTAAACCTTCAAATCTGCACAGTAGTTTTTGTTTTATTTGTTTAGGTTTTAGTTGTTTTTGTCTCGACCTTGATGTCTCTTGCAACATCTGGCTCTGCTGCGTCACAGTCAAACTGAAGACAGCATTTGGTCTCCCTGCTAGGTAAAATTCACCACGCTTTGAGACCATGACATGCAAACACTGTTTTTCATGATCCTGTCCAACATCCATCCTTTGATCACTTGTTTTTTATCTTTCCTGTCATCTTGTTTTCTTACATCTGCCTGAGAAACATACTGAAACAGCAATCCGGGTTTCCCTTACACCATTGTTACAGTACACTTCTCTGTATTGTACAGATGTAAGTTAGTTGTAAGTATTACCCTTGAGAAAGCATCCTGGACAATAGTCCATAAAATTACAACTAACTTGCTACTTTCTATCAAAGCTGAATAATAACACTCCAGGTACTCTAGAACAGGCTGCAGCTGCATCACTACATCACTTACTGTTTTTAAGCCAGCTGGCCTGAGTTTGAACGCTCCGATTGGAAATTATGTCACACTGCAGAACGTAAGCTACAATGTGAAGTGAGTTTATAACACTGAATGAAGGCTGTAGTGCCTCCATGATGATCACTAGCAGTGTGAAAGTTTTATACTGTAATTTATGAAAAGTGTGAGTTTGGAAGTTTGTGGGAAAGGGAACCTAGAGGAGAAATGGTACATGGTGAAGTTGTACTATTTAATACTCATTATAGTTAATTAAGATTAACTAAGATTAAGCTGAGTTAATTAAGATCTTAGGATACGTCTTAAGATTCACAATTCAAGATCTTTATTGTCATATGCACACATTTTTATTATAAATAAACAATAAAACTTCTGTAAGAGAGAGAATACTTCACAATCATTTATTTATTATTGTTTATAATAAGAGAAATTGATACAGTTGTCAGTTTTCCATCCAAATGTAGCACACATTTTAGCACAAATGTCCATAAAATCAGCAAAAGAAAATACAAATGAAAATATCTTTTCATCTCTGACTATTATGTGAATATTAACAGGTATACTGAGATAAACTGAATGTGGCTTTGATTCTCCAGTCTTTTGGGTTTTTAATGAAAATGGGGGGAAACAGGACCCAATCGTAGACATAAGAGGAGACAGGCAGGGATGCTGGGAGATGCTGATACACACATTATAATTACAACACTATGAAAACAAGGGCTACTGTGAGTCTGAGCAAACAGACTGTGGGTACATCCCGGGTCTCTTATATGATTGTTTCAAGACTCTTATATCTAATGTGAGGATCAAGTCATGAAGAGGCTGTCTGGAAGAGCCATGAGCGAGGATACAAGTGCATCTTTCATGGAAGAATTTCATATACTGACATGCACTTTTTTTGGAAACCAGCTGGAGATCAACAGTGGTTACTCAAAAACTATATATAAAAACAATTTTGAGGTACTTTACTTGAATATTTTAATTTTCTGCTACTTCATACTTGGACTTTAATATACTGTATGTCTGAGGCACATATTGTACTTTTTACTCCACTACATTTACCTGATTACTTTAGTTACTTTTCAGAATTTAACATACACTAATTATAAGACTTTATTCATTCCTGGTGAGAAATTCCTAAGCTACCCAGTAGTAGGGAGTCATTCAAATTCTAAGCATAAGGTAGTTAGCTCCACCTTTATCAGATGCAACATTAAATGTGATCTGTAAATCCAGTAATTTGGTAGACATTAATGTATCCATTCTGCATAAGAATTTTACTTTTGGTACTTTAAGTATTTTTGATGCTAATACTTTTACACTTCTATCACAGAATCAGAGGATAAGACATCTCCTGTTTCTTAAAATATGTTTCCTCAGTTCCTCTTTCCTCACATTTTTTCCTTGCATCTTACATGTTGGACTAAGACACAAAGAAAAGATGCAAGTGAGGGAAAATTATATATAT